CGCTGGATCATCTTATCTGAGCAGCTCTGTGTTTAAGGACAGTCTTGTGAATGATTTGCTCACCCCTACTGAAAGGCTTGCAGGTAGGAAGTATCCGGTAGCGCGCCGCATTAGCTTAAAAATAGGGATTAAGGATTGAGAAGTCTCTCTTTGGTATTGTTCTTCCACATTAATGTCTTTTTGAAGCATTGAAGATGGTTTTTTTGGCGGGTTTGACGCTGTTACAGTATAGAAAAAGCTGAAGTGCTCATTTTAAAACAGACTGTGTGAAGATGAACTTCCCAGCAAAGGCACTGAAGACATTATGTAGAGACTGATTGTAGGACACTTCTTTTTTCAAGTGTTCTGCCATTATGTGATTACAGTATGTTAAGGTCCTTCAAAAGCTTCTGGTGTATCATATAAGACATTACACTTTGATAAGTCCACAGATCTTTGGGCTTTTGATGGGTTGGGCTTGTCCCCTTACTTCTAATTAGAGAGACAGGACTGTGTTTAAGCTTACAATTATATTTTAGATCACCTTTTTTCACATTGACTAAACGTTTTTTCCCCAGTTTGGTGTGAAATAAGTACAATGCTATTTACACCCGGGTGTCCGTAGCTAACAATGCTATTTACACCCGGTTGTCCGTAGCTAACAATGCTATTTACACCCGGTTGTCCAGAGCTAACAATGCTATTTACACCCGGGTGTCCTTAGCTAACAATGCTATTTACACCCGGGTGTCCATAGCTAACAATGCTATTTACACCTGGGTGTCCGTGTCTAACAATGCTATTTACACCCGGGTGTCCATAGCTAACAATGCTATTTACACCCGGGTGTCCGTAGCTAACAATGTTATTTGCACCAGGGCCACACTTTAGATACTGTTTTGGATGTATAGGTATTTATCGAAATGTTTCTTTGATAACTTATTTCCCTTGTGGTGCAGCGTCAAATTGTAATTCCCCTATGGTGGATGTATAAAGGCACATATCCTAAGCACTGTAGCTACAGTATACACCCGGGTGTTGTACTGAATGCATCTCATCTTGCTCTTTTTATAATTGCTTGGTAAGGTTACCTGAACATTAGGGACAAAAAACACCTGTGCTATATTGTGAACATGGCAGTAAGGTATGAAATGTCCCACAGACCCCTCCTGAAGAAAGGGGGTTAATTAATATGCCACAACAGTTGGAAAGAAGTTATGAGGCGTTATTCATTTTAGTATGTGTATTTAAAAAATACCACAACAGTAAACAGTGACTAAAAAAATCAATTATTATGTACCCCCTGTCACAACCATGTTTAGATGACCCAAAGCATTATAATGAATCCTCTGGGAACCATGAAAATACACATTGAATTGAATGTCAATTGTCGGCCTTTGGTTCTTGAACTTTCTCTCTTTGGACCAAAGTGTTTGACAGACATGTAGATGCCCTACTTGATGAAAAATTGCACATTATAAAATTGCTAGTTATTACATAAAATAATAGTTTCCCATTATTTGCGGAAGAGGCTGAAATATTTGGCATATTGACATGTTTTGGTGTTCCCAGGCATTTAATGGACCTTTGTGTGAGGAGGGGTGATAATAACAGTGGGACAAACATTAGAGCAGTAGGCGGTATTCAACATCCAGCCGCAGAATGGATGCTATTAGATGGAGTCGATAAGTTGAAGTGGTGGAGGAGGGGAAGAAGAATGTAAGGACAGATGTGGAAACGATGAAGAAAAGGTTGTTTGGAAAAAACCCAAAGCTAAATTGAGGGATTGGATGTGCTGTTAAGGATCAAATATAGATGAATGTTCAAGGGGAAAAGGCAGAAGGGCTGAGTTCTGGGATTGGGGTGTTGCTACTGAGATTGGGCAAGAGGAGTAAAAGGATAAGATGGAGATTGATGAGATACGTGTTGGTGTTGTATAGGTGCAGCAGAATGATGTTTGGATTAAGATTACAGCTAATGGACAAGAAGAATAAATAAAATGGACAGAAGTGAAAATGAAGGAGGAGAAGGAGAGCTGAAAATAAATAACCTCTTATTTATATTCCACAAAAGGTGTGTTATTGCACAAGTTTATGTGCTCGTCCTGTCTTTGAGAGGGCTATTTTAGTTTGAGGTTTCTTTTTAGAGGAACATTTTGTTCCATAACTTGGTGGTTTTAGGGGTTGCATTACATCAATTATGGTCCTCACAAGACTGTCCTACCAAGATGAACAACAGCATTTGTCTTTGCAAGCAAGCCCCCTAAAACAGTGACGTTTTGAGGTGGGATAAAGGCAGTAATATGTCTTGATTGAGCAAGGACCATGCATAAAAATACATTAATCCCAAAGAAAAAATATGCTATATGCCAGATCATAGCTAAAAGCAAGTGTCCGTCTGCAGTCCATTGGCAGGTACACACAGAACAATCAACAAACACTTATTTGTTTTTATTTTTTATTTACCAAATCAATAACATGAATATTAATGTAATCCAATCATTCGAGGGGCCTGAGAGAAACCTCTGCACCTAATTTTGGCTACATTTTCAGGCTTTAGAAAATCTAGCCTGGGATGTGATTCTTTGAAGCATTTTAGAGATGAAAAGAACGTTGTTATTGCATCGGCCCCCACTTGGGATTCTGCGCAGCTACATTTCTTCAGCGATCACAAAAACTTGTGTGTGTGTTAACATGTAAAAAGTTTAAAGAAAATTGTTTTCCTGAATCCTTCAAAGCAGGTTTGTGATTGCAAACGCGGACATGTCTCGGACTTAAATCCATTGCTTTAATCATTCACAAAGTAAAGCAACAAGAAGAAGCTTTTCTGATACTTAAGTAAGCAGGAAATACTTAATGATCAATCTGTTGCAGGATGAGAAGAAACAAATGTCACCAATTGCTTATTTCCTTTTCATCAGAAAAACAGTTGATGTAACATTTTGAATAAATGTGTTTACTTCCTGGCATTTAGAAAAAAATGAGTTTTAAGGATAGAGCAGGTTTTCCAAAATATGACATTACATAAATATGATGTGTTTAAGTTGTTGTTCTATCATCAGTAATGTAATTTCCTCAGTTGCGTACATTTTATTTAATAATGTTACTCAAAGACTTCTGTACGTATCAACCAGTGGCGGGCCGTCAGGGCCCTCTAGGCCCTCTCTGAGGGCCTAAGATATTCTACAAAATAATATTTAAAAACATTTTTTTTAATCTTTTTTTCAGAG